CATTTACATTGTGCTTCGCTCGGCTGTGGGGAAAAAAAAAATTATCCCTATCGAATAAAATGAAAAGGCAAACTGAAAAGCAGCCGTAGCTTCCCCCCGTGCCTGTCGCCGGCCGCCCCGGGGTGGGAGAGAGGCGGCTGGTGGTGCGGAGCCCCCCGCAGCCCCCCAAACCCCATCTCCAAGCCCCAGACCCAAACCCAGTGGGGACCGAATCCTGCAGGGAGGTTTTTGCTGAAAGCTGATGGGGAAACGGCGGGGGAGCGAGGCGGGACTGGGGGGGAGGATGCTCCGATGGGCAGTGCCCGGTTTGGGAGAGCCGGGGGAAAACTGCGCCCTGGTTCTGGGAAGTTTCAGAGCAAAACGAAACCAGATGAATGCTTCAAAAGGATCTCCTTATCTGCTCCTCCCAGGAACTTTAGATCTGCGTTTAAAATAATAATAGTGGTCATAATAATAACGATAATAACAATAATAACGATAATAATAATAATAACAGCAAATGACGGGGACAAAAATCTTTCCCCCCCGGAGGGCGGTGCAGGCTGCAGGCCGGTGGGTGCCCGCGGGAGGGGGCCGTGGCGTGGGGGCAGCGGGCTGGGGGCTCGGGCACAGCAGCAGTGTTTGCAGCATGCCCAGATCAGGTTTCTTGTTAGAGAGGGGAAAACAACCCTCCCAGAACTCATTCGTCTCTTCTCCCCAACTCCACCTTCTTCGTGATTTTTTTTGTTTTGTTTTGTTTTGTTTTTTTCTTTTGTTAATTCACATTGGGTATATTTAATCAGTGCCAGAAACTGTGCAAGTCTGTGTTTAGGCTTTGGATCCACCAAAAGTAGTGACAAATTCAAGCCGGACTCATTTAAGCTTCTGAGAGTGCCTCTATCAGACTCCCCGAGGCACAGTGTCTGGGTCCCTGATGTGTGCCTGTGCCTGCCTGCGAGGGAAAATGAGATTTTTCACAGCATTTTACTTGGCGTGGCAGGGGCTGGGGGTAGTGGTAGTGGTGTGACACTTAGGGCAGAAGTCGGTGACGACCTGATGACTGGGGATGGGACTTTGCCGTGCAGGTTCAGATGGGGTTTCTGTGCCAAAACAGGATAACGATGTAGCTGGGGGCACTGAAACACCCGGGAGGAGGCAGAGAAGCCACCTCGGGACACGGGATAGAGAGTGCTGATGAGAAGCCACTTGTTTGAATTGATTTCTTCCTCCCTCTCTGCCTGTTTTATTTCGGTGCCTCCAGCCAGGGTGAGTCTCCCGAACACAGGACACACAGGCTGTGTCCCTGCTGGGATGCTCAGTGAGCCTTGCTGCAAGGCGATGATCTTCCCGCTTAGTTCTGTGTCCCTTGCACCTCTGTAATGAGGGCTTGGCTTCAGCTTGCTCTTTTTTTTTTTTTTTTTATTTTTTTGTTTTATCTCTTCCAGATGCCTCCCCATCTGCTCCTGAGCAGCGATACCTCTTCGACATCTCCAGCCTGCCCGAGGCAGAGGAGGTGACGGGTGCAGAGCTGCGGGTCTTGCGCACCCTCCCTGAAAACCGGAGCTTGGCCCTGTCCCCCGAAGGCACCTTCCACCACCTCCTCCTCTCCACCTGCCCAGGCTGGGACGGTGAGGAACCCCGGCTGCTGGACTCCAGGGCTGCAGACATTTTGGACACGGGTTCCTCCAGATGGGAGGTGTTTGATGTCTGGGAAGCCCTGCGGGATCGGAGGGAGAGATCTCCCTCGGGCAAGGTGCTGTGCTTCCTCCTGAGGATCGTCTCGGATCAGTCGGGGAGGCTCCTGCCCCCCCGGCAGCTGGGGTTCAGCAAGCCCCAGCCGCAGCCCCACGAGAGAGCCCTGCTCGTGGCCTTCTCCCGTACTCAAAGGAAGGAGAACCTCTTCAAGGAGATCCGTGATAAGATCAAGGCGCTGGGCAGCCCCCCCTTCCTGGAGCCCCCTGATCCCGGCCAGGAGTTGTACCCCAAGCGGAGGAAGAGACGGACCACCATCGCCGCCCGGTCTGGAGGCAGAGGCCACGGGAAGAAGGTGAAGACCCGCTGCAGCAGGAAGCCCCTGCACGTGAACTTCAAGGAGCTGGGCTGGGACGACTGGATAATTGCCCCTTTGGATTATGAGGCGTATCACTGCGAGGGGGTCTGCGACTTCCCCTTGCGCTCCCACCTGGAGCCCACCAACCACGCCATCATCCAGACCCTGATGAACTCCATGGACCCGGAGTCCACGCCCCCAAGCTGCTGCGTGCCCTCCAAGCTCAGCCCCATCAGCATCCTTTACATAGACTCTGGGAACAACGTGGTTTACAAACAGTACGAGGACATGGTCGTGGAGACATGTGGCTGCAGGTAGCAATTTCTGCAGCTCTCCCCCTCCCCACCCTGCCCTGCCCCGCCCAGCAGCCCTGCCCCATTTTATATATAAAAATATAAATATATATATATATAAAATATATATATATATACACACACATACACATTTTGGTGTGTGCCTTTCCAAAAGCCAAGCTCAAAGCAGGTGTCCTCTGCCTTCCTGGGGCCACCTTGGCCAAGAGCTGGGCAGGGACGGGTGATGTCCCCCCCTCCCTGACAGCAAGGCTGTAGATTGCCTCCCCCCCC